GGGCTCATTTTTCTTATATATATATATATATATATATATGAAAAAGTAAAACGCCTATAGAATTGCTACAATGTTTTGCCCTGCAACGGGCATGCTATGTCCGTGGCGGTTTATTAAACGGAGCCGCAACGGATGGCATGTTGTTTGTGGCGGTTTCGTGTGCTTTTTGACTGCCACAAACTTGCTATGTCCGTGACGGTTTGATCGCCACAGACTTGCTATGTCCGTGACGGTTTGACTGCCACAAACATGCTAGACTTCACAACCCTTCAAATTACAAAGGTTCAAGATAGAGAGAGGTGTGAAGGGTGGATTTATTAATTTTGTAGTCTATTTTTTTATAAAAGTTACTTTTGTGGGGCAATTTTGTAAATATTAGTACAAGACAAAGGTTACTTTTGTCATCTCCATAAGGGGTAAAGTTGAAATTTTAACTAAATGACAAGGGCACTCTACAAAAAAAGTTCCAGGTTATTAACTTCCAGGTGATTTCATGTACAAAAAGTAAATGGTCTCTTTGTAGACAGGTGATTTCATGCAACGGTTGTATAGGAATATAATGAAACAATCTTCAAAAAACTATGACCCAAAATTTTAAATATACAGTCTTTTCATTCTAATTAACAATGGCAAAAAAGATAAATTAAATCACAACCTAGAAAGTGTTTTTTAGCCCAATTAATATAGGCTGTCTATTTTGGTGAGATGCTTAGATTTAGGCCTTAGAAGGATGCTTTTTACTTTCAAATTTTTGGATAACTTTATTATCATTAGATTAACAATGTTAAAAAAGGAAAAAATTATTTTAAATTTGTAAAACCCTAGATCTTGAAATTCACCAAATGGACATTCTAGATTCGTTGTTGGAGATGACTCATTTTGACCATATATAGGGTGCAAATTAATTTTTTTGTTTTTGAGTTTGATTATTGAGATGAAGAGAGTGTGTGCGAAATTTTGGGTCACACAAATACCACAAACATGGCTTTTTGGTTTTATTGTGCTCTATAATATAATGGCATCGGACATGTGTCATTATAAGACTGCAAGTTACATACACAATCTCTATCACACATCCATTAAGTTTTATGAGCTCTCTCTCTCTCTATCTCTTTCTCTCAATCAAGCATACAGTAACTTTGATGAGCTCGCTTTCACCCTCTCTCCCATTAACTTTGATAAGCTGGAATCAAGCTTTAATATCAGAGGATGACAACTGTTGCATTCATGTATCAATTGATTTGTCTCATATTTGGATCCTATTGTGCTGCTTATTTTTTCTGTTCTATAGATGTTCCTTTTTTATTTTAGCTCCTATACCTTCAAAAGCTCATTTTACAATTATTGGAATTTTCCATTTTTCATATAGTTATTTGATTGCATTTTAAAACTTCCCCACCATCACATATTTAATTTTTCAACTTATTCTCCTGTCATGTAATTGTTATTTCTGCTTTGAAATTTCCATGCTATCGTCCTCCATTTGAACCATGTGCAGTTAGTTTTCTTTAACTTTTAGGAGTTTTCTTTTCCACAGGTTAAAGATGAACCTTCGTCAAACGTGCATAAAGCACTAGAAAATATAGGACTAACCAGGAGATCTGTAAAGCTTCTGATAAAATCAAACCCTGAACTCTCTACCCTCTCTCTCTCTTTATTCACTTCCACTATCCGCACCCTTGAGACCCTAGGCATCACGGGCTCACGCTTGGTCCGCCTCATCAAGAAGCACCCCACCTCCCTATTTGAACTCGAACTAGATACGTCCCTCTCCCCTGCCCTAACTCTTCCTGGCTTTGACCTCCACAAGCTTTCCCTGATCCTCTTTACCTCTAATCCTCGTTCCATCCACTCTATAAAAGCCAAGATCTCCCTACTTTCCAAGCATAAGATATCGGAAACTGACATCTCTGGAATCATTAATCGCATCAATCTCAGACTCTTTCTTGAAAAGTCTCTTTTAGACCTTGAGATGGTACTGGTTTTCCTCCATTCATTGGATGGGGAGCACAAGCACGTGCTCCGTCATCCCTCACTCCTCCTCCTCGACCTCAAAACCGACCTAGAGCCTCGGATTTCATATTTCCGGTCATTGGTGCCAGATTCTGGTGCTCTTAGCCACCTCCTCTGGCGTTTTCCGGTGAAGAAGTGGTTCACTGTTGACTATCTAAACGCACGCATCAGCTTCTTCCGATCAATTGGGTTTTCTGATGAGGATATTAGGGCAGTACTCCGGAGCTACCCTCAGGTATTCAATCAACCTTATTTTTTCTTTTGATAATTTGGTTTTCTAAGTGTGCCTTTTGTTTTTTTATAAGGAGCAAAGATGAAGATGGCATCAAAACTCAAAAGTGCTGTCTTTGAACCCATAGTTATTCTTTGGTAATGGAGATTTGCTAACATAAAATCAAGGCTTGCATAAGTAGTATATTCCAAATAATAACATTATCTGTATGCATGTGTAGTACCTGTGGTGAAGCTAATTTGCATTCATAAGATTTTTGAGGTAGAGGTTATTGCATTTTTGTTTGGTATTCACCTACAATTGAGTCCTAAAGGTAGTTATTATGATTAATTTAAAATGGAGATCTGCTAATGCACATTCTTGCTTGGAACCTTGTTATCTTCCTGTCCCCATTTTTTTTCTTTTGGAGAATGGTAAATTTTGTTATATTTATGTAGATATTATACAAAAAGAACTCCTTAGGCAAGCCATAAGAGATGAGTGCTCTATTACAAAAATGGGATGTGAAAAGAGAATTTCAGCCCACAAGAAGTAGCCTATCAGAAAAAATGGTATTGAGAGACAGGTTTCTAGAGAGGGAGAAGAAGCATTGTGATCTGGAAGAGGTGAGATGAGAGGTGCTGAGAAGAAGAAAGAGAATAGGGTGGAGAGAGAAGGTAGAATAAAATTACCATTAAATCTTGCGGTGTCTCTTGTTATGTGTGCCTCTTGTGGTTTCATTGTGGAATTCTTGGCCCATCCATTGCTAATATATGCCTAAATGAATTGGATTTCTTGTCCCAAAATTCATACTCGTGAAATAGTGTAGTGCAAATTTCTTTTTGGGTCGGGTCTGGGGGAGTACCCTGCTTCAACTGATGTAAATGTAGCTCTTTGATGCATCATTACATTGAAGCTTGACCCTCTTAAGGGAGAATTTTTGTCTGCCATTGGCAAACAATGAATATCACGTGTGTGTGTAAGTAATATGTATTTCACGAGGTTTATAGATATTTAACTTGAATAACAAAATTCATATGCAGGTATATATATTAGCGGAACCCCTTTTGGAATAGTATCTTCTTGTCTCAACTGAGAGTCACACTTATCTTTCTTGTTATGGCCCTATTGTAGGGTACAGCATTGCATGAAAATATCCCCTTTTTAATATCATCTGCAAATATTGCTGAACAGGTATTCACCTTGAGCATAGACCGAAATATCAAGCCAAAAGTCGAGTTCTTGCAAAAATGCGGCCTGAACGATGGCCAAATAGTGAAAACCCTAACCGTGCATCCATCTTTCTTGGGGCTCTCCTTCGATGGAAACCTGGACAAGAAAGCAAAATTCTTGACAGAAATAGGGTTTCGTCCTTGGTCGGTGACATTTGCTAGGGTTTTGACCGTGGCAACAAGAATAGGGTATAGGGAGCTTACATGGACGGTTGAGATGCTCAGGAAAAATGGGTTTACATGTGATGACATAGTAGAGATGTGTGAGAGACAACCCCATGTATTGAAGTATACTTGGAAGTGTTTAGGGCCAAAGGTGGATTACTTAGTTGGAGAGATGGGTTATAAAGTGGGGGAGGTGGTGAGGTTCCCTGCTTACTTGGGTTATAGCTTGGAAGACAGGATTCGACCTAGGCATGAGGCCATGCAGTGGCTTATTTCACGTGGGCTGATTAAGGAGGGTTATTCCATCAACCACTTGCTTACTATCTCAAATCGTGACTTTGCTAGGTTGACTGCTGGGACTGGGTTTTGTGAAGATGCTGATTGATTGATTTTGAAGTCCTCCCCCACCCCCCCCAACAACAACCCAAAAAAAAAATTGTGAAGAGAAACTCCTTGCCAGAGTAGCATACTGTAGACCTGATTGCAAGTCCTTCATGGTCACTATCAAGATTCACTCATTGACTCAAATTGCAGTGGGAATTTGCTCATTCATGACTGCTGAGACTGGGTTTTATGGGTTTTGTGATGATGCTGATTGATGCATTTTCAAATGGTTCAGGATTGGCCTTCCCCTCCCCGGCAAACCACACCCCCCCGACCCCCCTCCCCACAGAGAAACTCCTTGCCAGAGTAGCACACTGTAGGCCTGATTGCAAGTCCTTCATGGTCACTATCAAGATTCACTCATTGACTCAAATTGCAGTGGGAATTTTCTCATTCATGGAATCTTGGAACATCGCGTATAGGCCTGGTTTGTTCTTTTTGCTTACCAGTGGCGATTATTCACTGTTGTAAATAGTTTCGGTTGTCAAATGACGCATTTTGGTGGAGATCTGAACTGCTATATTATTTTAGTGGCCTAGAATGACTTATACTCTAGCAATATATGTTTATGAGGATTGGAAGCATTGAGGCTATACAGCATTTCCCTGTGAGGTTCAGAACTAATTCTCTTAATATTGAGTAATTTTCAAGTTGTGGAGCAAGCAAAAGGTTTTTCAGATTCTCTTTTCATGTTCTTTTGTTCATTCTAAGCTCTGTTCCTTCTAATTTTTTAGTCATTCTCACATATGTCATGTCAATTATTTTTTTTGCATAATTCTTTTTTGGTCATCAATCAATTAGTATTGTACTCTAGATATTTTTCGTTTACCCAATATTTATTTATTTATTTCTTTGTAATCAACTTATTATATGTGATTTGAAAATCTTGTTCAACATATTTTCATTTGATGGAAGACCCCTCAGAAAAGGAATTAAATGGAAGACAAGTTTAAAGTTAGAAGGTAGTGTTATTATCAGTCTATGTCATGTCAGCCCTAGGCTAGTGTTGCATGTCAATATGTGTCGACATTTGATGACACTTTTAGCATATTAAAATAATAAAATATTATGCAAGGGCTCACAGTGGGACCCTTGTCCTCTATTCTACCAATTCCTCTTCCAGAGCTTGTGTTATAAAAAGGAAAAACGATATTATATTTACTAAATTTATAATAATTTATTAATGAATAATAATTGTATGGACTTGTCTAGCTATTAGGTATTTAAGTAGATACCTTTGACACTTGTAGACACTGACACTTGGTTGGTGAGCATGTAACACTGTTTGGAGGTCATTGTTGACTTTGCTGTCATTTGTTGCCTTTGGCATTTGTGTTTAAGATATGGAATCCAAAAAGCAAATGCCACGATTTTGGTCTCGCTTTTGGTGAGAGAAATCTTTAGGACTGTCTAATTAGACAGAAATCGCAACATTGATTACCATCCACCTTGGACAACTAGTCAATTAATCATAAGCACAGTCTTCATTATTCAATTAGTTTTTTTTCATCAATTCATGCTTAAAAGTTTTAAAATGCACTTATGAATAGAAAGAGTGATTTGTATTATTTTGCTCATCAAACAAGTATTTATGGTGTGCAACATACTTATGGACATGATACAAGTAGCGAGTATTTCTTTTTCAATAAGTTAAGAATTCAATTTCATTCTCTAGAGAATGTGTAGACTAATAGAAGTAAATGAGAACAAACTAGTCCAAACAAAAATTAACAGCACCATTATTACCTAAGTACAAGCGACAACAGTAATAATGGGGAAATAGATAAATGAGAGACCTCTGCCAACGCTGCCAATCCTGTGGGATGTGTTAAGGGGGTGGAGAAAGAGAAATGGAGCTTCATACTGAGAGAGAGAGAGAGAGAGAGGGAGAGGAGGAGGGAGGGAGAGAGAGAATGACTCAAGCATGGGACTCTGTTCCTCCTGGCCTAGAGTTGAGAAGGGGTTGGAGTGCCTTGACAACAATTGTCATGTTCGGTCGAAAATCAGCTTCATATTGAACACACAGTGCTGCAACTGCTGCCATCTGCCAAATGTTCCATACACGCAATTTAAGTTAATAGGCCTTTGAACATGTAAAAAAACAATGTTATTGTTTTTAAAATGCAACCTAAACTCCTCGTAGGTTGTTTGTGTTCCTAGTTTTACAAAAAGATGTGTGGTTGACTTGCATGCATGTGTTTGTGTCTGTGACTCTTGTGTCTGTGTCCTGGGGGTTTGACATGGATAAAGTCTTCTCCTAAGTCTTTAGTTTTAGAACCTGAACAGTCCTTTTATATTAAGAAAAAGATAAGCATTTTTCATGAAATTCAATAAATAATTAACATGCATAACCTTTGCAACAGCCTTTGGTGGGTAGTTATTGTTTAGTTTTGGATGCACACACTGCTTTACTTTGTCTTCACTCAATCTCGGAGTTGCCTACAAGCAAATAAGACATATCCTATATTACTTCACAAATAATGTAGAGTGCAAAATTACTTGAATTAAAAACTAGATTAGATATACACACCCATGTAACAAGACTCTGTTGCCCTTTAGGCATTGTATGGTCTACTGGTTTCCTGCCAGTTAGGAGCTCGAGAAGAACGACCCCAAAACTGTAGACGTCACTTTTTTGTGTTAATTGTCCTGTCATTGCATACCTAGAAAGAGCCATGAAAGGAAGAGAGAAATGAATTCATAGACAAAAAGGATACACTGACAAGAAATAAGAGGGACAAGTCTCAAAGCAACAATGGATGTCATTTATCTCCATCTTTCCATATGAATCATTGCATGATACATAATAAAATTGACCAAAGTTCCATTAATGCTAAAAGAACAAAATAAACTTTGAAAGCATGCATTACTTTTGCTCATATACACAAAAATGTATATCTATCTCTCAACAAATGTGCTTTTAGCACATTCCCCTTACACTCAACAGGAACCAGTTACAGTGCTCACTAGGAATATAAGTTTTTTAGTTTAATAGATACAATCAGCTGGTTAGCTACCAATTTGAACCTTTTGGTAAAAAATTGCAATTAAAAAAATAAAGTTTATCATTGACTTCAATCAGTAAATGATGTTATTTATCCTCTCCAAGAGAAAATGCATTTGTTGGATTTGGAGCTTACTCTGGTGCATGGTAGCCGAAGGTTCCCAACACACGAGTTGAATGGAGGCGAGCTGCCATGTCAGGGGCCTGACTCGTTAGATTGAAATCTGCAATTTTGGCACTGTAGTCATCAAAGATCAAGACATTGCTTGATCGAATGTCACGATGTATAACGGGAGGCTGAACCTTCTCATGCAGATACTCCAGGCCTTTGGCAGCCCCATGAGCTATCCTTACCCTCTGATTCCAGTCAAGTATTGGACCTGGTTCGGCATCTTGTACTCCTTTCCTACCTACGATGTAACCAAAATTGTCTTTTTAGTGGATATATTTTCATTATAGTGCCTGGAACACCGAGATTTGTCATTCAGGTGCCCCAAAAACTTAGAATCTGAAGAAAGTAGCTGGATTGGTCATTTTGCTCATGACTATATTGCCCCTATTCTGGTGCGAAAAACAAGTTTAGTACAGTAATTAGTCACTCTGAAAACACAAATGACCAATAAGAACTTTTTTGTGATTCCTAGTTTTCGTAGCACCTACATGGTTTATGAGGGTAGGCCCAGGCATTGTTTGATACTTGCTTCTATTGCCGAACTCCCTTATGAATAACAATGAGAAAATTTCAAAATGCAAATAGAAGGATTACATACCATGTATGATGTCATGCAATGATCCCATGGTTGCATATTGATAAGCCAAGATCCTGTTATTTGCCTCCAAACAGTACCCAATTAGCTCGACGATGTGCTCGTGTTTAAGTCTTGAAACCATGGACAACTGGTCAGGCCAAATCACCAATATCAGAGGTTTAGTATTCAGAGAAAGTGGAGCCCCTTCTTTCCTAAAATATTGTCATGGATTTTCGTCTCTCATAGATAGAAGAAGAGCAATGAATTGTGTGTTGTGTGGGTGTGAAAATTTTTTAAAGAAGTTGCTTTTCAGTTATTGAGATGAAGCGTGGAGTGTTTCTACTGTATAGTGTTTACCTGCTCTGCAAAGTCAGCATCAGATTCTTGGAAGGAGCTCGGATCCAACTGCTTTATAGCAGCTGCTTGACCAGTTTGAAGAGTAGCGTAGAAAACTCGTCCGTAAGACCCCTCTCCTATCAAAGCCTTTGTTCCGAAGTTGTTTGTTAATTGCTTGAGCTCACTTAATGATAAGGCTGGTGTTTCAATGGGTAAGACCTTTTGGGGTGCCCCATTTTTAGCTACATTGGGACCCTTCGACATTCCTTCATTACCTAAATCACATAGATGTACAATACAATATCAAATGAAGAGTTGACATTTATTAATCAACAAAAAAGCATTAGATGAACTTCAGGTAACTAACTGAGAATAGAAAAAAAAAGAAAAAGAGAAGTTGTCTTAAGAATTTCATTGCTGGATTCCAAATAGATAATGTATAATTTATGTTGTCTTCTATGTTGCTTTATTATTGCATATGTATGATTTAGTTTAAGTTCCATTACACGATTTGGATAACCTGTTTTTTCTTATTTTTTATGCAAATGGGGACATCCTCCATCATCAAGCATCAGATTTATTCCATCTTTGTTAAATTCTGTGTTGAATCCAATTTCCATAATTGTCCATACATGATATGTGAATTTAATATTTCCGTTTTCATTGAAAACAACTTAAATCATTTACTAGAAACCCAAATGGAAGAGGTATTAAAGAAAATCAGGCTTATACCCTTGCCATTCTTCTCTTTTTAATGATCAATTAACTAGCCATTTTAAAGCTGGATGCCTAGAAAAATCCAAATCATTGGCACGATACAAAACTGTAATGAAATGGGAATACTATACAGTAAGACTGTTTACATGGGTACAAAATGGTCGGAATCATCCATGGCATTCTGATATGAAATCGGGTGACAAGTTGTTACTATTCTTGAAGTCTCTGAAAATTTTATTTTGATCTTTTGTGGAAAAAGAGCAGAACCCAACCAATCGATTTTGCGTCTGATAACTAGAGGTGTTTGTGACCTTTGTGTACAAAAGGCAACCCTAAATTAATTCGTCTAGCAAAATAAACAGTAAGCAAATGCAATAGTGAAATATTACCATAAGGTCTCCCATTTGGTGGGTTGGTGTGTTGGTTTGTAGGTTGACCGTAAGGCTCCTCCTCTGCACCTCCACAGCACAACATTTTGCAAGTGGTTCAAGCATCAACTACATAGTAATCCAACTAGTCCAAATTGCAATCCAAGTTCTCTAAATGAGAGAGATCTCAACCTGCAAATTTTACCCAATCACTTAACAAAGATAGCAAGTTACAATCTTTGAAAATTTTTATATAAGAAGATCCGTCCTTTTTTGAATAGTGATATTACATATTTCCCTCTTCATATCTTTCTCATGGGAAGATTTTTCAATCAAGATATATCCTCCATAGCCTCTGAAGAAGCTGAATTGAAGCTGGGTCGGGCGCAGTTGAAGTGTTTCTCCTATAAAACAGAACTACGTCTCCCATTTGATTTACATTGTGTCAACACATTTTTTTTGAAGATATACATTGTCTCAACACATTAAGGACACTATACTTATGTTTGACAGTTATATATGGGACCTGGACTTGGACCCGACCAGATTCAATTGGACCTGACTTGAAAATAAATAAAAATATATATATCTATATATATACTTTTTTTAAAATATATATATATATATATATAATTAAATATTATATTAAATATGTATATATATACATTTTTTAAAAATATATATATAATTAAATATTATATTAAATATGTACAGTTATTATTTACATATTATAACTAAAAAATGTATAATTAAATTTATTTAAATATTATATAAATGTTATCAGAATATTATATATTAAATATTAATACAATTTTGGTCGGGTCTACAAATTTGGACCTGGACCTGACAACAAGATTTGGTTGTCGGGTCCGGGTCCATTGCCACCCCTAGCTAGAACAAAGAACAAACTAATGAATTAAACTATTGCATACCTCCTAATTTCTTACCTTTTTGTTAATATGCTATTGCCTCATATTCGGACTTATCTTCTCTTCCTCTGCTGGACCTTTCATCACCATTTGTCTTCAATCGCAACTACAATAAGCACCCAATTAAATGGTATCAAAAGGGAAAAGTCACAAGTAGGTTACAATCATATCCGGTCGTGAGTTGTGAAATCAAACACTTTATTATGCAAAAATTTATTTAAAAAATCACTTTCAACTATTTGATAGCTAGGGGTGATGGTGATCTTCTTATATCAAAAAGTAAACCATCTTACTACCAATGACAAATGGTCTTACGTTACATAATCGGGTGTGGCAAAGTGAAGACATAGTGATGATAACGGAGACGTGCTTGGGTTGTTTTTCCGGTAGAGAATGAAAAACTAAAGCTTAAAAGAAAATACCATATGACATTGTTGTGCGTCTTTGGAAGCCATGACATGCACCAAATTGATCAAATTGATATTGAAAGCTGGGCAATGGCCATATGAATTTTCAGGCTTTTGGAAAAACTAGCCAAACATAAATAAAATGAAAAAGAGAATGAAGGTTTTCAAATTACCTATAACTGATGAACAATTTAACACTTTGTCTGCTTCATTTAGTTTATTTTTTATTTTTTAAAAAATGCATGGTCTTGAGTGCATCATTTTGTTTATTTTTTATTTTTTAAAAAATGCATGGTCTTGAGTTAGAGAGAGATGTATAGAGATTTTCTCACATATTTAATTTTAGAGAGATATATTTTCTCAAACTATTCAATCTTTTTAATTAGTAATATGATTTGGATTGGTGAATGCATCGATCATTGCAGTACTTTAAAAATAAAAAATAAAAATCTAATGCCAAGGTTGAATATGTTATCAATCTTCATTGTGGTTATGTAAGAATTGATGGAGAGTTTTGAAGATATTCAAACCCACAAAAAAATGTGGAATATTTATCTCAATATTCTCATCTAAGACAAAATTTGAAGGAAATGCAATCATGAAAAAATTTGAAGGAAATGTAATCATGAAAAAATTGAATGGCAATATCCACCCTAAAAAATGAACAAAAACTGCAATTACATAAATGACAAATTTAATGACGATATTCAATTAAAAACGAAAAAAATTGCAATTACATACATTCACAAATAAGAAACTTTCATGTAGAAGAGGGAGGGACACAAATAACTCATTGCTTGCCTATAAAGAGATATAACAGGGGTTAGAGAGAGAGAGAGAGAGAGAGAGAGAGAGAAGATCCAAGACTCACCTTAGAAGAACAATGTCTTCCTCGACAGAAGAACCTCTGAAATAGCGATTGATGGAATGCTTCAAGTAAGCCTGTGACCCAAACTTTCAATAGCTGCTGTTCCCGCCAAGAGAGAGAAAGAGAGAGTTTAGAGAGAGAAAGAGATTAATATTTGTGTGTGATGGAAGAGTTGAAAACAGAAAAATGGATGGATTAGAAAATGGAGGGGGTTGACCAAGTCCAACTCTCAATACCCATCTCTCACCATAAACAACCCCTCCTCCTCGCTCTCCTTTAATAAGCGCAATTCTCCCCTAAATTTTAGAGAGAGAAAGCATGTGTTCCCATCGCCTCCTAGAGAGAGATTGAATAGTCTTACCTTCAGGAGTGAGAAACAATGCCTTTTCTGATATATTTGATCAATTAGAGGGTTGAAAAATATTAAAACAATCTTTTCTGATGGATTTTTGAGATGCATATGTAATTCTATATTTTTAAAGTTTCAATTTTATATAAACTTTTTTTATATATATTTTATACTTTTATAAAAAGAATACCACTTTTTTATACTAGTTTTAAAAGACGTGTCGAATTTACTCCATCTAAATCAAAACAAATAGTACAGAACATTGCAACTTTAATTCTACGAGTACGATTGTTACCGCATATAAATTCCCACTTTTCCTTTTATTTGAAAAAGTCATAAATCATTATCAGGCCAAGTTGACAATTGCGAAATCGAAGGGCCGAGAAAATATTACCGACCACTCTTAAAGTTCCAAAAAATTTTAACATACTTTGTATAGAGAAATCAAGACCCCTCCAATTTTATATCAGATGGCTAGGGTTTTCTGTGGCCTTTATGTCCAGATTTGTAAAGCTCTCGTTTCATACTCCGTTTACTGTTTACTGCTGATGAACCCCCCTAAAAGAGAAGAGATGAGATGAGATGAGATGTGAGAATCTATCCTTTCTGACCAAACGACATGGCAACGTGTTGCCCATCTCTCTCTCTATGACTTTCTCTCTCGAAATATCGGATTAGAAAAAATTTATATAAGGTATCCACTTTATATTATTGAAGTAAGTAGTTCCTCAAATTTTTTTTTTTTTCTAGAAGAGAGTATTTCGACATTGAAAAGCACTCGAGTTAATCATCTCGACGACGATAACAAAATAAAAAGAATTTTAAGTCTTACAAATAATGTATTTTGTAACAAATTATTTAGACTGTCTATTTTTAAGAATTTTCAGTGTTTATAGATCTGCTCGATTTATTTAAAAAAATTAAATTAAATTTCATAATTAAGATGAAAATAAATTTTCAAGCGATCATGAGGTTTTCGATATTAGAACTACATACTGGAAAAAAAAATTAAAAGTGTGTATCATTTCTATAGTATAAAGAGGGTGGCTTATGCAAACCTCACCCATAGAGTTATCTTAGGGGTGGCAATGGACCCGACCAGACTTGGGACCCAACGGTGGGTTAGTAGGTGGCAATGACCTGATCAGACCCAAGACTCGACCCTACCTCGGATCCCAGCATGGGTCCAAATTTGGATCCAAAAAGTCGGATCTGGGTCCAAAACCTAGACTTGAATCCTGGGTCTGAGTCCAGCCAGACCCAACCAGTTGGCACCCCTATGTTATCCACTATAAATGAATATTGCGAACCGTTGAAAACCTGTACTGTGATTGAAGGAATATCCTGAGGGATAAATATTAAAACGACCACTATCCTTTTATAATATAAAAAGCAGTAATGTATGGGTGTCCAGGCCTTTGGTCGGTCCTAATTCAAACCCATCAAAATTGATGGACACAAGCTGGGCCTGTCGAAAATAAAGGGTGGCAACGGTCTTGGCCAGGATGGTTTGAAAGATTCAACTTGGGACTCTAGAGGGCGGGCTAGCCCAGACCTGGCTTAGCCAAAGAGGCCCTAACTGAGGGAGGTGGCTCAAATCTTGGGTTAGGTGGTCTTGCCATGCCTATTCATGGGTTATGAGGGGTGATGATAGTTTGTTGTGTTTTAAATTTATAAAAAAAAAACAAAAAAAAAAAACAAAAAATGGCAAGGCCGAGTTAGGTCGAGCCATGACCCTACCCTTGATCATGCACGATCAGTGCCTAGACACCTGTTTAAATCCAGCCCAGCACCCAAGTCACTGGACCTGGGCCGTTTTGGGTTGGGTTAGCAGCCTGGCTAGTTGCTACCCCTAGTTACAATAAGGGCAAGTTGTTTCGTATTATTTTTCGGAGTATTTTTATTCCAATTGATCTCAATCTATCTTTTAATACCAATTGGCAATTAACTGATGTGAAAATAATCTCATACTTAACTATTTAGTGAACTTTTTCACGTAAAAATATTTCTCAAAAATATTTTCATGCGAACCAAACGTGCCCTAAATGAATTCAAATGTGCGTGATAGAGACGAGTCCATAATTTCTTTTCCCAAAACTATTATTCATATTTTAGTATCCAAGGGAATGCTTTGGCTCCAATTTTAGTTGAAACGATATTTCTCCTAACAATGAATTTTGTCAAAATTAGGTGGTCTTTGATAATGCAGACAAATGCAATTTTCTTTCTTTCCTTTTGTTTTTTGAAACTTCAAAATGCAGTTTTCTAAATTAAAAGAAAAAGAAAAACAATTCTACTTGGGAAGATGCTTCTCTTAATAATGAATTTCGCCAAATTGGGTGGTTGTTTGTGCAAAATAGTGTTTAATATCCACATAAGTGGGGTGGATCCGTTCACCCACCGCTCCCTATCGAATTGCTCGATTGGCGATAAAAGATTGAGTTTGGAATATTCCAAATACATGACGTAGAAAATATTAAAAATAAATAAATTAAAAATTTTTGAGGTGGAAATTCAGAGTGGACCTAAGAAAACATTTGATAATTTTAATATGGGAAAGTATATAATGAGACCACATACATTTGATACAAAGTGGTCGCTAATAATTTTGACCATTGGATGTGAAATTAGGTGGCAATATTTATGTTATTGACCAACTTGACGATTTTTAAAACATTAATCATACACCTTCAACACATGACAAAAGAACCAACATGAATTAGATCATCTCTCCCTCTTTCATAAGAAATTCAGCGATGGAATTTCCATTATTTTGCAATGGTTTGTCAAATAGACTTTATTTCATATCCGACAGGGATAGCTCAAGAAAATAAACAAGGAAAAGCAATTCATGTGTTAAGGGATGTAGTTAGTGGTTTGTGTCCCATCAAACATTCATTTTTAAAATAGATTGAAAAAGCCAAAGCTCATCAATCAAAAGTACAAAGAATAGATAATGTGAAACCATTTATTTTTTATACAAATAGTCTACAATCACTTTTTCCAAGGTTTTTATCTGTTTACATATCAACTTGACTTTTGAGTCTTAAAAATAGTGCATCTTGCAACACATTATCTAGACAGTCATTTTTCAAGATTTTCATATGTTTATAGACCAACTTGACTTTAACCATTTCTGGAGTTTAAATTTTTCTAAATAGATATGAAAGTAAATTTTAAGATAATCCTAAGAATTTTTTACAACAAAATTACATTTTATGATAAAATTTGGAGGTGCTCCTTAATTGGATTGTTTAAGGTTGTAACCTTATAGAAACCACACCTACCATGTTGTCTATTCTATGTTCTTTTTGGGTGATGAGATTTTGAGCAATCTCCAGGCTTTGGAATCCTGTTGGCAATGGTTCCCAATTTCATCAATATACCATGATAAATATCACATGATATTGTAACCAATTCAGCCAGCTTCGGGCCGATTTGGCAGAAGCTTCAAGCCGATTCATTTGTAGCAAAGAAATATCTATTAAAAATATTTTTTTATATATTTTATGTTTTAAATTTTTTATTTTTTGTTATTGATTTTATATATGTCTATCCATAAATATTTAATTTATTTTATTAAATTAAAAAAAGCTCAAAGTCTTCTCCCCGAATCGGTAAAAGCACCGAATTGCTTTATTTTTCTCACCAAACTGAAAAAAGGCACTGCAGGAAATCTAACAACATTGGTACCATCAAAAATCCGAGAGGGAGAAAGAGACTTATTACTCAAATCATTAGGAGGGGGAGCGAGAGACTCTAACCACTTAAAAATCATTTACAAAAAGCTTTAAACCAAAAGTTTGAGTGATAATCTCTGTTGCAATTTCAATTGATGTTAGTGTCAAGATGAGAGAGAGAGAGAGAGAACTCCACCCACCCAAGACATTTTCAAAAAGCTTTAACCAAAAGTTTGATTTGATAATCCCTGTTACAATATTTCAGTTGATGCTAATGTTAAAGGAGGCAAGAGGCAGGATGAGAGGGAGAGAGCAACTCCAACCAATCAAATCGTTTGCAAAACCAAAAGCTTGAGTGATAATCTCTGTGCTATTTCAGTGATGTTAACGTTAGTGGAGCCAAGATCAAGGGTTTTATCATTGCTGTGTTCATTTTGGCCTTGGGACTTTATTTTAGACTAGGGCAGCCACATTATACTCCTTTGGGAGTATAATCTCGGTCCCAACAGGGTGGATTTTTCAATTTGAAATTTTGTGAACCACTTAAGAATTGCTAGATGATTATTTTCAAGAAATTGAAATTTAAGTTTTTCAACACTTAGATCGACCATCTAAAAATTGGATGGCTACTATTCAATCTCGAGATATTGTTTTTTTCCAAGTGCATAGAGGGTATAATTAGGAAATTTTTTAAATTGAGGTTAACCTATAGGTTGAAGATATTACATTCCAAACTTTGGGTTCCTGAAATCAATTCTAAGTGAGGTTTTACATGAGGGAGTAAATATCCACATGAGGGAGTAAATGGACATTTTACTCACCTGGGCGTAGAATATCTTTTGGCTTTAGACAAAGATGGCCACATAAATCTTTGTGCCATCTCAATTGCATCTCAACCGTCCATAATTCATGCATGATAAGCAGTAATAAATTTGGCAAGAATTGTGGTCCACTAGGGTTTCTCTAATCATAGAGTGGGAGAAATAAGGTATATTGCATATTGGTCCTCTTTGGTCTTCTAGCTAAATAAGGTACCACTAAGAGAGGAGGAGCGTTATGTAGTCCTATGTGCTATTTAATTTGGATCGGACTAATTATTTTAGTGGTACCGAAGAGGGGGGATTGTTTATAAAGAGATCATTTATCTTTTATATATGGAGGTCACGATCTTTACCACTTATTACATGTCAAATTCAATAGCTTGGGGGTAAGTTACAAACTTTGAGAATTTTTTTTTTGGAACTTTGAGTCTACTTAGTGACACTCTTACAATCGCTCATTTTGAAATTTAAAGGACAATAAAGACAGTCATTGGGATTGTCTACATAGAGATATCATTTATCTTTTGTACATGGAGGTCACAATCATTCATACTCATAAGATGTCAAATTCGATAGCTTAGGCTGAGTTGTGAAGTCCGGTAACTTTTTTTTCGAAACTTTGTGTCTACTTAGTGATACTCTTGCAATCACCCATTTTGATATTTAAGGGACAAAAAAGATTGTGACTTTCATGTAGAAAAGATAGATGGTCTCTTTATAGACAATCCATTTATTAAAAAGTTTATATAAGGTGTCATTTTTTATGAGATGAATTATTGTAGGAAAAAGTTATATAAGGTGTTATTTTTTAAAAATAACTTTGTCAAAATGAGGTGGTAGTGGTAAGATTGTTGTATTTTTGTACTATTCAATTCAATTAACTAGAACATATTTGATATTTTTTAAAAGTTTTAGCAAATTTTGTTATTGTTTTTGAAGATGTTTAAAATCTACATCATTAAATTTACTATGTTTTTCAGACCATCAATACCACACTTCTACAAGTGTTTGTTTTTTGAAGGATAAAAGGTTGCGGGTAACTTATTCTTTGGCTTATCAAGAAAAAATAAAGGAAAAATATTATTTATTAAAAACAAGTCAAAGTAAGGTGTATCTACAAATCATGTCGAAAGATGCAGTTCAGGTACCACAATCCCTGCAATAAAAGCTTGAAAATGATAGTCTATATAATAAACTACAAGATTCATCCTTTTTATGGCTCAAATTTTTATTTTATTCTACATATCCACACGCTTTGAGGTCGAGATGATTCCTTTAAGAGTTTTTTGATCTCTAGACAACTTTTTGCTGTGAGTTTTTAAGGTGCGTGCCACTTCTACAATGTGAAGTTGGCAACTTGTATGAACTTTTCCTACTAAAAAGTCAAAAGTTTTTTTTTTTTTAGGCCATCTTAGATAATGTCAAAATTATGGGACAAATTTGGAAAATACAAGCTGCAATGGATATTAATTAGAGGAAATTTGTTGTATATGTGGGGGGATGTATTCTAGCATTAAAACATCCTTTTTAAAAAGGAAAAAGTTTATATAAGTGTGGGGCTCTAAACATCAAAGTAGGGCCACTTCAAAAATTTTACTTTGTTTTGATGCTCAAATATCATCAAATTGATCATCTCGGCCTCATGATGCATGAATATGAAAAAAATGGATTTCAAGTTTTGAAAATGAAAAAATATATCTATATCTTCCATTTTTAAGTTTATATCTCAATAGACCAAATGTTTTAAAACATATATTGGATCATAAAAAAATCTAAGTTATGTATCTTTTAACCCCCTAAGTTAACTTTATTCACTTTAAATTTATTTTTTTGCCCCAAACAAATATTAAAAAGATATATCATTTATATACACTATTCTATTTCTCTTCACATGATTTTCCCCTAAATCTCGTTCTCTACTTATTTTCCCACACTGTCGCCTCCTATCTCTCACTCACTTTATCTCCCCCGTTAGAGAGACAAATAGGGTGAATGTTAGAAAGAGAGAAATCTGAGGGGAATATATCACCTAAAGAGAGGAAGGATTTAGAATGAGTATATCTTTTTTATATTTGTTATGGCTAAAAAAAATAGTTAAAAGTGGTTAAAGTTAGTCAAGGGGTTTAGAAAAAGTATTTTGAATCATTGGGTCTATTAAGATATGAAAACTAAAATAGGGGATATAGGGATATTTCCTTTTTTAAAATAATGTATTTTTAGAATGTCAATTTTCAAGTTTTCATAAATCTGCTCCAAGCTTTAAATTTTATAATTAGAGGGGAAAATATATTTTAAGGCTATCTCAATGATTTTCAGTATTGAAATAACATTTCTCAACACTATTGGAAAGTGTGCTTTACTTAGATAGTTCAGAGCCTCAACTTTATACAAACTACACCAAAAAAAGTTAAATTAATAATCTAAATATTTTAATAATCTAAATATTTTCTTCATAAAAATCTCATTTTTAGTTCTTATAATTTGTTTTTCTACATATTATTTTTCAACATATTTTTTCCTACATATTTACGTGCGGATTATATAAAATCGCAACCTTGTCTATAGAATGAGACAATTTACCTTTCATATAAGGTAGTCACAATTACTTACAATTATTCGATGAGATATTTGATAGCTAGGATGTGTCACAAAGTCTGAGAAGATTTATTTTGAAGTTTGCACTTGGTAAATAGAATAATTACATCCAACCAATTTCACACCCAATTGTCAAGATTAATGTGATTATTTTGTATCAAAAGGTAAATGGTCCCGGTCTATAATTTTCCTATATAGTAATGTTACATTACTTTACATTATTCATTTTACTTAGTTAGTGTAGATTTGACGTATCTTTTAAAAAAATATCAACATATGGCTGTCTTCTAAAAAGGCGCAGTTTGTATATTGCCTAGGCTCTAAACAATCAAATTAAAACCTACCTTCAAATAGTATTGAGAAATATGGTTTCAATATTGGAAATCTGTTTGATAGCCTTAAAATATATTTTCATTTTTATTTATAAAGTTTAAAGCTTTAAAAATAGTGTAGATCGAGAGATCTATTAAAACTTGAAAATCTTGAAAATTGTCGGTCCAAAATGCATTACAAAATATACTATTTCCAAAACTTGAAATCCATTTTTTTTTTTCATGTGCATGCATCTTGATGTCGAGATGATGAATTTGAGGATAGTTGGGCATCAAAACAATCTCTTCTAGTGAAATTTATGAGGTAGGCTCAAATTTGATTGTTTAGAGCCTCATCTCTATATAAATTTTTCCCCTTTTAAAATAATGTTCAACCTATACTGCCCAAGCAAAATGGACAATACAGATTACCGCAATTTTATTTCTACAAATAAAATTACAACCTTATATAATTTTTTTTGTTATTCTTTAAAAATTAAATACAAAATTCATCTCAAAAACAAATTTATAAGAGGGTACTCATTTTCACATATGTGTCCTAGGACTCACAGAAATGGCGTCCTATGGATAGATTTGGGTATTGTATGAAAAGATAAGGTGTATTTATGTCACAGTTTTATCTGAATAGACTGCTACTTAATTAGGGTCATCGGTCTATTAAGAACCAGTGGTGAAAAGAAGGGGTGGGGTTTTTTCCTCAGAAGAGTTTCTCTCTCTAAAATCTCTCTTGTCTTTCTTAGGTGGGTTTTCTCGCTCTAAAAGTCGTGGTTTAGAAACAGGAGAGAGAGAGAGGAGGGTTTTTGCTTTTCTTTTCTGTCGATCCAGAAAAATCAGAAACCCTAACAATTCTCCATGGACCTTTCTTCCTCGATCTTCCCTGTAAACTACCCTCCCATAAGTTTCAGAAAAGGTAACCCTTATTTCCGCTCACGATTCTTCTTCACTCTCTCTCTTTTTCTCTTCTTGGACTGTAAATTCTTGGTCCTGTGGGTTTTTTCTCTTTCTGATGATGAGTTATTTCCTTTATGGTCTCTGTATTTCAAGCGCATGCATAGATTGTTAAATGGCTAAAGCTAATGTTTTCTGATGAAAAAGAAGCTAGAACTAGTGTTCTTTTCTTCTTTGCAAGTGGTCGTGGTTTTGTTTACCTAAATTTTTGAACACTATATGCTGTATTCTTTGAATTACTCGGTAAATTTATGAAATAATATGAAAAAATGCTTTAAAGACCTGTAAAAACAGGTTAGTTCTTAATATATTTGTTAGAAATTATGTGATAGTTTAAAATATTTGAACCTTGCCAATTTTTGGAAGAGACTGGAAAGGATTAGTTGAAAGCTAGAGAGAGCGATGTAAAAGATGTGGAGAAGTGATGAAAAGATCTATAAGAGTAATTGTCAAAAAAAGAAAAAGATCTATAAGAGAAGAAGAAAGAAGAAGAGATTTCTGAAGAAATATGTGTCTGGTTTGAATCTTTCAGGAGTTTTTTGATGTCTCTTCCTGAAAATCTGTTAAAATAACTTGAGGCTTGTCTTATATTTTGGAAGAGTTTTACAGTTTTACTCTTCTAGGGTTTCTCTCAGAAAAGATCAGTGGATTTTTTATGTAAATTTACCCTTCCTTAAAAAGAAAATTGTGTGTGAGATTTGGAAGCTGTAATAGAAATGTGTACCTGCAAGTTTAATGGTTATTTTTATCATATATTTTCTTGGAAGGAAATTAGTTATTTTGTTACGGTAGATAGTGTAGTATGTTGTGCTATGTTTTCCTTTTAGCTTATTACATGTGTCTTCTCATTGTGCTCTCTTTCATTTTATTTAACCTTGGTGGTACCTTTTATTGTTGCTTTCCTTTGGGTTAGCTGAATGGCTAAGATATTTGATTCAGAGGATATGTCTGGACATTTAATACAGATTTTAAAAATTCAAAAGTCTTTGATTGAGTGTATGCATTAGGATTGAAGCTATAAGGCTGATTATTTTTTTTGGACTGAAGAAATTTTATAAGTTTACCTGCATGCTTGTGATCTTTCTGTTTTATTTATTTGTGGACTTGCATTTCTGGTTTTCTGGTTCTTTTTTGTTGGTTCATGATTATCTGAGTTGTTTTTTATTTCATTTTTTGTCTTCTTTTTTGTCTTTAATAATTTTATTTGTTGGTTTTGATGTTGGTTTCCCTTTTAGAAATCTCTAGCAATGTTCGAAAATTCGGCGGGCCCCCCAACCGCCTAGGCGAAAAAAATTTAAAAATGCCTAGGCCAGTCTGGGCGGGCTCATTATGTGCCCTGCTTCTGGGCGCCTGCCTAGGCGGTCAAGGCGCCGCCTAGGCACTATTGTTCGGGCGCTCGCCTAGGCGCTGCCTTGTGACAACTTGTGGGCGGGCGGAAAAAAAAACCCTCGGCAAGAGTAAAAAATTTAATTTCTTTCCCCAAAAAGGGGGATAAAAGGGTTTTAGGGGGTATTCTAAACCCCAAATGGAAAATTTGTGGCCTTTAGGGTGAGAAAAAGCCCCCAAGAACCGCTCTTTTGTGATTTATCGAAAGATTGATAAATTTTTTATTTTTTTGATTTTTTCCGAAACGAAGGCAATAGTTCGTGGGTGGATTTGGAGCTTCTAGTAGTTGATTTTGAGAACTTTTGGTGACCCAATAGACGAGGTTTGCACAGACATCAATTTAATTTTGATATTTTTAAAATATTATCATATTTGAAAGAGGGTTTTGATTTTATTTTACTACGACATGTTATGTTATGAGTCATGTGTTTTTATTTACTTCTTTGTTTTATTTTTATTTTTATTTATTTATTTATTTTTACGATATATTTACATGTTTGTAGTTAAAAGATTGATTTTTTGGTGATTAATTGTTTTTTTTTCTCACTTGGAAGATGTTTGGGGTGGGAGTGGGGGGTTTTGATTTTGGGAACAGCTATCATTTCTAATTCTTGTATAATTGCAAGTTACCATTGTGTTAATCAACACACTTTTAAATTAGCAGACTTCTATCCAGATAGTGCTTGCTATGGGATGTCTGTTTTCAGATTTTTGTAGCTTAATATTTCCAGATGATTTTATTTTGCATTGTGCTGATTTGGATAGGATTTATTATCATATCAAACTAATTCGAGTTACCAGGTATCACAATTTTCCAATTTTGGGACAGTTTTTGGAACAATGAAGCAACTGTGTCAAAATTATTTGATTTTTTGCTGATTTAATCTTATCATCTTTAAGCCATTCTATTTGATTTCCTTTTCAGGATTGGGGTGATTTGCTATTATGTCCTCCACTATCTCTTCCATTTGCATTCAGGAAAAGATGAACTTGTCAATTCAAGGTCTTCCCACTAAAAAAGATTCAAAGCCAGACTCTGTGATTAAGAAGCCATCACTAAACCCTAATGCAGCAGAATTTGTTCCGTCTTTCCTTAGAGCTCCCTCTCAAAGTGCTGACACTCCTGGTTTGTCAAGGGCCAATATCCCTGGAAATTCAGGCAAGACGATCTTATTAGATCGAACAGAGTCAGTAAATCAGATGAAGAGGCCCACCAATATTGGTGTCAACAACTTCCTGATGATATTACCCCTGATTTCAACTCTTTAGGAGAAGAACTGCAAGGGCATGGGAACCTGTCAGTTGCCAATTTGTCCTTAAATGATGCTTTTGAAACACCAAGGTCTTCTTCAATTGGCAGTTTGGGGGGTGCTGGGCACTTATTGGGCAAGATACAGAACATAGCAGCTCACCCCCGTGATGAAATAAATGAGAGGCTTAGGTTTTCAATGCCTGCTTTGATGGAAGATCGAGGTTCGGATGGTTTTGTAGTGCCTAACTTATGGGAGAAGCGCTTCATGAGTCAGGACTCAAATCTCAACAAGGGAAGGGAGGGCCAGCTTTACAGTGGTGATCCCAGTGCTGGTTTCCTCAGTGAATTCCTTGGGGAACAACCACTTTTAGATGATGGTGATATAAACCCAGTGGAGTTCTTGGCGACTCAGTTCCCTGGTTTTGCGGTGGAAAGCTTAGCAGATGTGTATTATGCAAATGGGGGTGATCTGAGCTTGACTATTGAGATGCTTGCACAACTCGAGGTATACTTTGAAATCCGAGCTGTTATATTTTGTGGCTCAGTGCCTGGGCCATGTCCTTCTCTTGGAAAGTTTTGTCTGAATTCCTGCGATATCAGAAGCTGTAAGTCCATTATGCATCTTTTAGGACGTGGTGTGTCTTTGTGTTTTATGAGAGTAATGAGTGTATTTTTCAATCAGTACTCTAAAACCCGGAAGTGGGATTTGGACTGCCAACCCATTTTACTGATTTGGATTGGCCAAACTGGTGGAAATTTGGTTAAAATTTTGATAAAAAATAAGGATTCAGGCTCCCAAATTCGATCCAGATCTGCGATTGATTTGCATCTTTGGGATCTAAAACATTGTTTTCAATAATTCAAGAAAAAATAATTCCCACACTCCTTACAATGAGGTAATTGCTTTCTTCCTTGTCTTGCTATGAAATTATATTGAACTTATTAATATAAACTTAGCATTAAAACCAGTGTTTTAGAGGGCACTCGAGACCTGATGGTATGACCATAATGTATTGGAACCATTTGCACTGGAAACCCACCCACAAAAATGAAATCAATGGACTGTGGTGTTGGAAAAGGAGGGAAACTGTCAGAGGAAGCTCATTTAATACAATGGCTGACCCAGCAATCAAACTTGAGTTAAAACCTTTTGTTATTTTTCTTTGATAAGTAAGTCTGGACTAAATGACTCAAACCTGTTGAAAAGCTGTAATGCACCTCGTTAGTAATTTTGTTGGTTTAGTTTGGTCTTTGAAGCATGGGAATGTAAAGGTTTAATATTGGGCTATTTGGAAACAAATGTCCTTTTGGGAAATCACCTTCTAACGAAATGATGGATGGTGATGGAGATACTGAGACCTACCCATTTTGATCATGTGTCATTCTGATAAGTCCTACACTCTTTTCATGTCATTCCACCATTTCGTTGGATGGTGACGTTTCCAGTGGACTCTGGTTGTTTCATAGACATTTATAGTCTTCTTTCCCTTGAAGCATTACTCTGATGAACCATGACAGATCATGTGATGATATCAAGATGGATCTTCTGTTATTTCTTTCATCTTGTATTTTATATTAACCTTTGATCGATCAAATGGTAGGAGCACACATCAAGTTGTGCTCGTGAGCACAGACAAAAAAAGATGTGCACATAACAAAAGAAAAGTAAGTCTTTTGGAATTTCTTGTCTTTTGAGTTCTTTTGGTAACAAAAAAAGGATGGGTCTTTTATTTTTCTATGTACAGCTTCAAGTTGATGGTGGTCTGAACCAGAATCTAACCCCAAAGACCATGTCTGCTCCAAACCTTAGCTCACTAGACTTTCCAGCTCTCCCAGTGCCAGAGGCTCAGAATGGCCTTTCTCGCTACACTGGAGATGATCTCCATCAAGCATCCAACGCCTACCAATCTGATGATAGAGAAGGTTTCCTTTATGGGAGACCCAACTTCTCTAGCGCATCAAGAAGTGGGATTGACTTTGCAGCAGCTGTGAGAAAGCTTGCAACTCCGGATTCGGGTCAGTGGAAATATGAAAGGAATGGCTCTGTAGGGAGAAGTGTCGGCTCGAGTAGAAGCTCCCAACTTTCGGTTAGTTCTTTAGGTGGAAATGGGAGGTCAGTTACGGGTGATAGATCGCAAAACTATTCTCCAGCACGGTCAGCTCCTTTGGCTCCATGGCTAGAGACTGGAGATACAGTTGGTAAATATTTTGTAATATCTCTTTTACAGGAACGTGTTCTAGATCCAACGGTGAGCATCTTGATCAAATGATTGACGGTGGTGGCGAGAGAGAGTGGAACCAAAATGTAGACCATGTCCTGGTCTAGCTGGTCCAATTCTCTCGACATCACCGTCCTGTTCATTGAGCGGTGATGACCCAGATGGTGTATTACGCATGCTACAATCCATTGGATTGTGGTATACTTTCCCTTCAGTAATTCATTGGTTGAATAACGAACGGGTTGCTGCCATTATCTTGATTCTGTTTCTTTATGGTGAGATGTCAGCAAAGATGTATTCAGATTTGAGAGAAGAAGCTCGGGATCATGCACGCCTGAGGAATGCATACTTTGAACAGGTATGTTTATGTAGAAAAATAAAAACTTTTGTTTTGGGAAAAGACCTTAAGGGTCGTTACCATCCATTGAAATGATGACCGATGATGGATAAAGAGTAGAAGTTCGAGGCATGTCCTGTTCTGGTGGATCACACTCTCCATCACTATCCATCATGTAGTTGACTCTAATGGGATGTGTTTTTCCACAGTTCATTTGATTGTGCTATAATTGTCATCTTTGATCAATATCTGTTTGGATGCTCCATCTTTGGCAATAGGCACGAGATGCATATCTGATTGGAAACAAGGCTCTCGCTAAGGAGCTAAGCCTGAAGGGTCAATGGCATAATATGAAGATGAAGGCTGCTCATGGAAAAGCCAAAGATGCCATATTCCAACAGAGGTTAGTCATCTCTGGTGACCGTGTGCATTTGAATTTCATTTTCTTGTAAATTGGGACAAAATTTGTCGGGCTTGTCATGTGAAATCACAATTAACTGCCAACAATAAAAAAAATGTTTGACGATTAATTCAGAATGGTCGGATAATTGTGAATGTTTCTTTGTAGTATCACCGATTAACCTGCTCTATCATGGCAGTTGGGTTTCTTAGTTTTTGAAAGTCACAACTGATACTTGTTTCCAGGAGAGAAAGCTCCATTCTATATATATGGAAGGGAGAGCAAATAGGTGTATGACTTAAATTTCCAAAATCTATCCCTTTCTTTTTCTCTATTGAAACTTTCATCCCTAAACGTCTCTTTATTTAAAAATATATGTGTCTTTTATATACACAATGATAAATATTGCAAAAATATTGTATCCATCTTTCCTTAATAATTCCTTTGTGTTTTATCTAACTCTCGGTGTTAAACAATAGTCTATTATGGAGCATAGCAAAAATAAACAAAAAATAAAGGTAGAAGAAGTAGAATCATTGATTGAAAATTTTTAAAAGGTCTCTTATTTGCTAATTATGCTTACCAAGAAAAGGAATTATAAAAATAGGAATTTCTGTAATAATGTTCAGTTTTCCACAAAAAGAAACACCAAAAAGAGATATGGTTAGATAAAAAATTAAGGCTATAAAAATAGTTTTAAGCATATTAAAACAAACTTTTTGATCAAATATTTCAAAAGTTTCCATCTGATCTTAGCAGGAGAATCATGCAAGGCATGCTAGTTTTTTGGAGTTTTGATCTGTTATTAATTTTTAAAACCTTAATTGGCCAAAAAATATTTTCAAGAGAAGGAGAGTTCTTAATTGTCAAAATTTGTAGTGACTAAGCAAGTCATGAGAGAGAGAGAGAGAGAGAGAGAGAGAGAGGAGGTAGTAGTAATAATACGTAGTTACGTTTGTTAGAAGAGTAGTAAGAAACGTAAACCTACCTATTTCGTTTAGGTAACCGGAACCTACGTCCGTCCTACGAGTACGTCTACTAC